CGGGGAAGCGGAGGCCCTGCCGCGCCGCCAGGCTCGGGCAAAGGGAGCTGCTTTGTTAAAAACCCAAACCGAAACCAACGCTAGAGCCGTTTTCCTTTGAATGAGGGGATTTCGCGGCACGAGGGGTGACTCTGTGTTCACCCCGAGCTGCTCTGCAGGTCTCTGGGATCCCTACGGCCCCCGGGGGTCCTGCTGGCTCCTGTTGGAGACGTGGGGCTGGTTTTCTTACAAAACTAGGTTGCTCAGGGAGAGGTTGGCTTCTGCCCCTTGGACAACTATAAATCCTTATGGATTTTTTGAGGAAATTCTTTTAAATTGGATACAAGTTTCTTATTTCAGGGTATAATAGTTCATTATGGATTATTGTCTACAACTTTGAAGTTGTAGCAAGATTAAATTTTATATGGTTGACCCTCTGATCCCATTTAAATTGGTTTTATCACTTGTTTTACCACTGCTAGCAAGAGGCGGACCCTATGCTGAGAACCGAAAAGGTAGACTCTTGGTCTGCATAAAATCCTAATGAAAAAAAAATCCAATCCATAATTAAAAAACATTACAGGATAACATAGCCCAATCTCCTCAGAAATTTTATCTGCAGTTACACCAGTTTCTGCACAATATATCATTATGATTCTAAAAGCCAAACTAGATTAAACTATTTTTTAAACTTTGACTCTTTAAAATACACAGTAATATAACTTGACCACCTTTGCTTAAACTCTAGTTTGAGTAAATGACATGGTTTTAACAATCCTGAAATGACAGAAAATATCATGCCAAACTCTTAGCTCATTTCCAACAGTCCAAAAGCAAAGGACATCAGATGAAGGTGGTACATGCTCCCACCTTCACGTTTGTCTGTTGATTTAGCATTACTAGTTTCCAAACCTAGTTAAACCAGTCATCTCTCTGAAGGAAACAATCACAAATAGCTTAAAAGTATCCATCTACAGACTTACACTGATAAAAGTGAAAGATTAATTCATATTGAACTAGCTGTCACTTGGGTGCAAATTAACCCATCTCAATATTCAGGATACCTGCAGGAACAGATCGTACACTGTAAATGCGATTTGCATCTTTAACAAAGTCTGTAAATGTTTGAAGTTTAGAATGAAAAATGCTATGTAAGTCAGTAATACAGAGTTGAAGTGCATAAAATTGCTACTTTTATACAAATAATATCTAATATGAATGGCTTCTCTCAGAACAGGGCCCTTCTTTGCTAATTAATATAGTAGACTAGAGTTTTCTCCAAAAAGAAGAGGCTAACACTGGTATGCTAAGGTTAATTTTATTTAGGATAATACCTTGTCATGAAGAGCAATCAAGGTCTGTATTGTAGGTAACTTGTAGGGGGAGTAAGAATCACTGTAAGCATCTGGATGAAGCTTTAATACAGCTCTAAGATATTTTTCTTTATCTCAAATCATCAGCTTAAAACCTTTTCAATTCCAAGGAAGCTAGTGCACATCCAGCAAACATATGGCTTGGGGATATATATACACACACACACTGTCTAAATGAACTGGTATTCTTTTACCTCAGAAGGCATTATGGTCTCTGTAAGTTAGGTGAAATTCCCAAAAAAGCTTAAGTGTTGGCGTTTTGCTTTGTTTCTAAAAGTAGCTGAGAATGTTTCCAGAATGTTACTCCCATTTTAAACCTATTTCCTTCAGAAAGTCTAATTGTCCTCCTTAACTCTTTCACAAAGGCCACAATGTGACACTGTCTTGGATGCAGTGGAGAAGAATATAAATATTGGAACAGAATATTTTAAGAGGAATAATTGAATAAAACTTCCCCCAGCTTACACATGTAAAGGCATCAGGAGGGTCTTCACTTGCTGCAAAAAGGATGAATGTAGGTATATCAAGTAAAATTTATGCTGAAAATAATGTTTCCCCACCATTTACATACCGTTTCACATATAGCAAAAAGCTAGATGGAGGAGCCAGTGTGATTGTGCCGTGACAGCTGCCTATATGGGTATTTTATTCTCTTGTTGGCTCCTAATCTCTTAGTATGGCTTGATTATAGGCTTCCTGTATTATTTCTTAAGCTTTCCTGATTTGCCTGTACAAAGTGCGTTTGCCGTCTTTGACATGAGCTGTGCTATACGTGGGCCTCTGACACCATCACCTCAAAAAGACAGAAGACGTAGGCTGGATGCTGCCAGCTATAAGCTAAGCAGTCACAACCGTGTTAAATTAACTATCAGGAAAGTCACCTGGTGAACAGAGCAATTAACGTACCTTTGCATTTCCCTCATGTCATGTTTTTGGGGTGGATGTCTGTAAGAATAAAGTCACTTATTAACATAAGTGCACTCTAGCTGACTGTTTCAGTGTTTTAAAATTTGCCATTCTCCTAAACGTTTTCCAGCAGAGACAAAGGTCACTACACAGAGCAACTTAAGCTTACTTGATAACAGATTTGCTTTCTTACCTCTGATGGATGCTGTAGAGACAGTTTGTGGATCCACGGGGGTCCATGGACCAAACAAAACCCACTCTCCAGCCTTCCGCTGATTTCAGTGTATATAAACCCTGACAATTTACACGGCGTTTGCAGCGCTGATCTGTAAGACAGCCTACGCGGCCTAGGGACGGCGGGAGAACCGAGGTGAATGTCCTGAGGACAAGGCAGCTGCCGGTGCTCGGTGTGGCGAGCCGGGGGAGGCCGCACGGGCGCTAGCACGGGGGCCCTGGCGAG